ATGAGATTTTTGGGTTCATTGAGAACATGGTTGTTGTTCAATAATAAAATTATTCCTCAAAAATACAACTTGCCTAATAATTCTGCACTCCCTGTATATGGTGGTAAACTGAATTTTGTTTAGCACAAATGAAACAAGATAGTTTAGTATTCGTATAATTATACTTGCATGACTTTTTAGACAACGGGCTGCAAATACCAGATTTTTCCATGTCTGCCAAAGACTGTATTTAAAAGCTGGAGGCGGCCACCGTGACACCCTTTGATTAGCAAAATTCTGCTTCCAGGCCTTGAGCTTAAATAGATGCAAGGTGCGGATCAGACCATGAGTCTGAGTGACTCGGCCACAATGTAGGTGGCGTACCCTGCTATTTCAACTACAGCTGGAATCTTATGTACACAGTGGACATCATGTTGTATTTAATGAAACCTGAAAGTAGCAACTGAGACCATAACCTAAGCAGGAGAGCCAGAAGCCATTTTCTCATGCACTTCTATAGAATCTGACTTCTTACTGCAACCAGAGAGGCTTGCATAAAAGAAAACTGCAGGTGCACTCAGAGAGCACCTTCTCCACCATGACCAACTTTTATTATTACTGCATCAAAGATTAGTGGAATCTTCCTCTCCACAAAGTTTCATCAAATTCAGACAGTGTTTATTTACTGTTAGTCTTGCACACAAATTTCATTGAAAGCCTTATAAAGCTAAACAATATTTGTGATTAGTGACCCTTATCAAGGTTAAAGTGCCCGAGAGTGACACTTACCGCACTGATCCCCGGTAAGCTGAGCAAAGACCCGAGCACGGGCACTCGTCTGATGAATCCGACTGCCACCGGGAAGAATCCCCTGTTAACGAGTGCAAGAATAAAGTGAGACTTGGAAATTGTTTTGGACATGTGCAGAGGAGAGATAGTGGACAGTGTTGAATATGGAGATGCCAGGCAGGAGGAAAAAAGGAAGACGGCAGGACATGCAGAGGGATTGAGGTGACAGACAAAGGACGTTAGGTATAGGGAGAGATTCAGGTAGATGATCCACTGTGGCAACCCCTGATAGGGAGCAGCCAAAAGAGGAAGAAGAGGAAAATGAGTTCAACCCTTTCTGACTGAGCTGACCTGAATAAGAGGAAGAAACCGTAGATCTCCAGAACAACCCCAACAATCGGCCAGCCAAGCAGAACCACCAACACTCCTCCCAGGAAGAAGCTGGTGGCTTTTAGTTTGTGCCTCTGGAAGAAAAACCTGAAGGTACGCTCGAGGCCGATGACGAACGACAGTCCGGAGACAAACAGAATCTGCACAGGAAACAACATGTCACGAGTCCAACATCTTTTAGGTTATATAGGGTTGACTTTCACACTGTGTTATAATTACTAGGTAGGTTCTGTGCTCACAGCAATTTTTAATCTAATAATTTACCCGATATAAACATTCATTTTCAACATCTGTTTCCTTTTTACTGCCCTGCTCTAGAGCAGCAAAGAAAAGATCAACTTCCACTCACATCAGCAAATGTGATCATATGGACCAACAGCCAAATGGCAATCAACAATACAGGTACTACTCTGATATATCAATGAACACAAAAACCATCAACTCACATTTCCAATGGCAAGGAGAGCTTTATCAAAAAACAGCATCATCCCAAAGAAGAGGAAAAACACACCAAACCCCGTCAGTCCCATCCCAATCTCTGCAGACATCAAGAAAAAGAAAGAAGTTATTAATAAGTCGCATGATCTACTTTGGTTTACATGGATTTCAATTTTATTAAAGAAATGCAGAATGACTATTCATTAAGGGGGGTATTCATATTCATTTCCAGCTTCACATTTTATTACAGGGCAGCTTTGCATGATCCAGTCCAAAATAAGCCTTGTTTTTCTTACAGTGGGACTCTGGATTAGCCAGCTTTAAGCAAGCTTTCTTATTGGCTGCCCTTTGCAGACAGAAGGTTTGAACAGCAGGTAGGTGGGACTTCTGTGCTGACATCACACAGCCAAGTGTAAAAAAACAACAAAAAAAACCAAGCAGTTAAATGACTCGTGCACATACGCTAACCTCGTTGGTTTACACTTCGGCCGTGCTCGATATACGTTTTTGTTTTTTTAAAAACCAGGAACCAGTTGAAAAGGAAAAAAAAACAGTTCCCCTTTACAGCTACTTCACGTGGTGACGTAGCGTTGCTCTCAGCCAATCGTGTTTGAGCTGCTGGCCTCGTACATTCAGCTAAACCCGGTTTCGCACAGAAACACTAGAAAGACAAAGAACAGCATAGAAACAGAAGCGGCTCTTACTTTGTGAATCCGTGAGCGAAATCATTTTGGTATCC